AACTATCTCCGATGTATTACGATTCTTGATTGGCTTGATTTTCTTGATTTTCCACAATTCCATCATAGTTCAGGATGATGACTGCTCTTGTTCTGTATGTTTGTTGAATTCCTTGAATTTCTGGAATTGCTATCAGTCTGTTGAATTGCTCGATTTTCTAGAATTTCATTGATTTTCCACAATTCTATCATACTTCAGGATGATGACTGATCTTGCTCCGTATGTTGCGTTGAATTCCTGGAATTTCTAGAATTCGTTTCAGTCTCTTGAATTGCTTTATTTTCTAGAATTTCCTTGAATTTCCACAATTCCATCATACTTCAGGATGATGACTGGTCTTGCTCCGTATGTTGTGTTGAATTCCTTGAATCTCTAGAATTGCTATCAGCCTCTTGAATTTCTCGAGTTTCTCGAATTTCCTTTAATTCTATCGTAATTAAGGCTTGGAAGCTAATCTGTTATGTTTATCTGTTGCGTTGGTTGATTTTCTTGAATTGCCTTGAGTGGCGAATTCGTGGATCCTAGAGGCATCTCAATTTTTGTTCTTTCCATTGGTAAATAATACAAGAGAGCAAAATAACAATGAAGGGTTAGCAAGGCGAAAGCATGATAAAAGATAAGCTGTAGTGTCGTTATAACAAACGACTTCTGTAGATTGTTCTCTCATGCTGTTCTTTTCTGTTCGATAACTGAAGAAAGGGTCTTTCGCTCTTGCAATTTTTTAATATCCAAATTTATTGCTCCCCGCAGGGTTTATAGACAGTGGTACAATAAAAAGAATAAACAGTGGCTGTCTAATTCTACTTGTTTCAGTGGTTATCTTCTTCTCTGGTCTTATGAGCTACGTGAGTCTAGAGAAAGGAGAGAAAAGGTGCTGGTGTACGCACTTTGAATAATGTAAGAGAAGAAGAAAAATAAGTCACGTACAAATGAATGAAAATAGTTAAGAAGTGTGTGTGTCCGTGGCAGAAAACAACACCAAAACCCTCTATACTCGATAATTTATTGGAATTTAGAAAAATATCTAATGCAATTAGTCTATAGTAAAGTAACATTTCTTATGTGTAAAGATGTGGTAATGGAAATAGGTAAGTCTAATGTTTCTCCGTATTGACGCCCTCAAAGCATTACTATTAACGCAGCTTTTTTTGTTGTAAGCCTCTATCTACCCTTTTCAAAAAATGAATATTAACACTAGTCCGTGGAAAGATAGCTCAAAATCTGATCTTTCATAACTGATGTGATATATTTTTGGCACTTCCTTTTTTTTTTCAAAAATTTGCGTCATTTTCTGCTTTAAACATATGCTTTTTCAATCAAAAATAGAAAATCCTTTTCGTTTCTTCTCAGTTTATCACTTTCAGATCACGCATTCCAGGATTCTCGAAGAAGCTTCCTTGTAGTCAATTAAAACGCCAGTTTTTGACCTTTTTGAGAAACATGAAGTTTTTCATCTCTGTTCTTCTAGTGAAAAGTCAGAATTTCGAAAAAAAAGCTCTGCCGTGCTCTGAATCTTGATACGCGCTTTCAAACAAAAAAAGCCTGTTAGCACAGCTCCTTCGAAGCTGAAATGTAAAACTCAGATGTTTTCTTTAGCGTCATTATACTAATAAAAAATATGCCAAATGAAATATCTCTAGCAGACTATAGCTGTTTTTCAGGGTGATTGGTCGTCAGACAAATGTTCTGTCTAATAGATTCTTGTAGAGGTTAAGAAAATGAATAATTTTGAAAAAACTAAGTCCGAACGAATGAGAATTAATAGAAATGTCAATAAAATTCCGAGATGCTTATCATATCTAGAACACTCGTTATGAGCAAAGTATACGGTACAGATATTGAGCGACTTAGGTTTACTAAGCGCTACGAGTAATATTCTTATCAAACAACAGCCTGACGGCTTTTGACACATAAAAATGCGTGTACTAGATCCATTTTTTCTCACACCTAGATCCACAAACATTCACAGACCGACTTCGGCTTTGCTTCAATATTCCCAACTCATTTAATCGAGATCGATTAGAAGAGTTTGAATTCAGGATTTGCAAAGTTGTATAGACTGTGGAAAAATCCTGTAAAGCTGTGTGTGTGTGCCTACTCATCAAACATACATGTAACTACCCTAGTGAAAAACATGCTTTTAAACTCAAACTGAGGCGTCTCGATGAAAATACTCTTGAGTCTGCCATCATAAGGATGAGGCAACGAGATTTCACAAAATAAGCTGTACGAGTCAACTTGCTATTGGAGCGAAATATGTCACACTTCTTTCAACTAAGAGCATTTTTATCTTCTCTCTGTTATCTGTTCTGTTTAGGTTCTGTTCTTTCTTTGTCAGTTCTATTATTTTTGGGATACGACCACATGGCGTACAACACTAACGACGGTGCATTATCAATTCTCTATCGTCCTGTCGAGAAATGTGAATACCAACAAGCATTGGATTTGTGGTATACTGTGTTTAATAATATTCAACCAGGATTTTGCGAACGTTATTTCGCAAAAGAAGGATCGCCACGCTACCACACAGATGATACGTTAGGCGCATGGCATGGCGGTAAGCTAGTCAGCGCAGTACACATTCGGCGACTCTCATTTCGATTGCGTGATGATAATCGAGAATGTCTCTGTGCTGGTATTTCGGTTGTAGGAACTTTAGACGAGTACCGGAAGCGAGGTTACTCACGACACCTTCTACGAATGGCTCTAGATAAGATGAAAAAGGGTGGTGAGTTCGACATGTCATTGTTACAAACTCCAGTGCCCAATCACTATTCTGTTCTTGGATGGGAACAAGTAACTGGCCCAGGTTCAATCAGCATCGAATGGAAAGACTTTAGTCCTAATGATGGTAATGCAGAATGGCGATCAGCACTCAATGTTCTGTTGTCAGATGGTCAACTTCTATTAAAAATTTACTCGAACAAACCTCGTGCTTATCAGTTTGATCGTTCACCTTTAGAGATGTTCCAGCATTGGACTGGCTTTTATTGGCGAAAGGATGAGGCCATCATATTAGTGTTGGATGGTGATGAACAAGGGTATGTGGTAATCAAAAAACCGAACATTTTGAATGACGTCTGTGTATCAGAATGGCGCGCAGCGACTATCGATATCGAAAAGAAACTTTACAAATCGGCAGCTGTCGAGATTCGAAGACGACACCCTGAGACAAATATAATACGTTTTAGCGGTGTTCCACAACACATGAGTTTGGACGAACTGAGAGATTGGGCTGGTGCTTTGGAGATTACAAGAAATCCGAGCACGATGCTTTGCAATGTTTGCCTTCCAGAAAAATGTTTTGAAGATATCAAGACAGCTTACTATTCTGGAGAAGCAGTTTGGTGGCATGGTGACTATTTCTGAACAAATTTGATCCGAAAAAGCTGATCAAACAATCAGCAACAGTTATAACATCATAGATTCATGCTGTAATAGATAATCGCTTCAATCTTTTGATATATTTCATGAACAGCAAGAGTATGTTGTTTTTTGCTAATAATTGATTGAGCCTTGATCAATTAATTTTTATTTAAATGAATTTCGTCGAATCCAGAATCATGCTTCATTTCCACAACCATACATTGAATACATCGAATTCGTAAGGCAAGATGAAAAAATGATGAAAATGCACCAGAAAGCCTTTGAATGCACCAAAACCATCGAACATGCTCTCGAGATGTGTCGCGAAAAAATTCGACAGACCGTTCGATTCTAGCATGTGTGTGGAGTGCAATTGTGGCTCTTTTCTTCATTCATTTTCACACCCAACCGGTAGCACTTAATAATACTTAGTAATACCTCGTACTACCTGTTAGTATACTGAAAAAAATGGTACATTACCGAAGTTATTAGGTTTCGTCCTGTTCTACAGGATCTTCTCAGTTATCTTGCAACCAGACACAACCTTTCTAATGTATCGTAGTCAATTAAGTTTCGTAAAAGACATCAGGGATCTTTATTTTAGTGGAAAAATTTTCGTACAACACATTCTACATTATTACAGTCAAGAGGTTTCGTACGAATCCAGTCTTTTTTTCTTATACCATCTCTAACAAAAGCACATATTCACCAATCAAACAATGAACTGATCTGACTTCAATGTTTCGTTCATTCATTTATTTTGACGCTACGATTGATTCTGAATATTAAAAGACAGCTTCCTAATGAATTAATTTGTTACGTATATTAATAAGGATTTCTATCTAGATCTAAGGAGTTAAAGAATAGAAATAAGGAGTTAAAGATAGATATAGGAGGTTAAATATAGAAATAAGGGCTTAAGGATAGTTAAGATGAATTACAAATAGGTGTTCGAAACTTGAAATATATTGGCGTGAATGGTCATTTAGAATGCTGCATGATTAGAAATAGATAGACGAGATTTGTAGTATGCATCGGATAATCAGCTAGAAATATACGTAGATTAAATAGGCGTTTGAGCATAAATATGTCAACGGAACAGTATTGTCTTGAATGTAACAGGAAAATAATACATTAAATTTTTTAGTAATAAAAAAGAAAGAGTCGCATGAAATATTCTTTGTGCAAAACTTTAAAGGGTTTCGACTTCATTGAAAAAAATTGGAACTTTTTTGAATTTTGTATCAGACCTCTTTTCGATGTACTTGATAACACTTAGTGAATTTCTTGTACATATTTCAAATTATTTCATAATTCATTTTTTCTGAATTATTTTGTAATTCATATACGTCCACTAATGTTCGTTTATTAATTTTGAGTGATGATAATCAGAATCGTGAGAGACGGATCAGGTGTTTTCATCTTGATAAATTTATTATTTGCCTCAGCAAAGTAACGCACTATGCCTTGGATTCCCACGTTATAATCAAACTTTTTGTTCTTACTGAGAAAAATATATCTGAATTTGAAATCTGTCTCATTTAAAAGGACTGAATTTCAATTTATCGGAATCTCAGTTCTGTTGTTGGCTACACATTATTATCAAGAAAATGCGATTGTTCTATTGTTTGATAATGGCTTTCGTTGTATCAACAACATTAGCCATTGATCTTCTTCAAATTCCGGCTTGCCTTTCAGGAAGTTTAATGTCATGTGCTGGCATTGGAGCTGGATTAATAATGCCAATAATTAATATTCATTCGTGGAGTGATGGAGCTGCTCAGCCGATGTTTGGTACCACTTGTCGTAGTGGTTTGAAAGGTCGCCTTTCTGGCTTTCAATGGAAGTGGGATGCACGATTTTCATGTGACAATTATCCATTCGTCGGACAGTCTACACGACAAGGAAAATCGAGTGCTATCGAAGCTGCCTTTGTGGATTGGATGAATCAAGCAACCAATGCTGGCCTCTTCAGTTCAGAATCTCAAATTGGAAAAAAGTGATCGGGTAATTATTCCGTCTGCAAACATCTGCCTTCCATTACATGACATATTTGCAGTTTTGACTTTGAAAAACTATTAACTAATAATAACTTTTTCTCATGTTTCTGACAAACATGTAATCATAAATAAAGCAGAAGCAAGAAACACAAATATTCAAAAAACTAAACAATAAAAGGAACGTGGAGCAGCGAAGAAATAAAAAGATAAAGGCAAGCTATAGGAAGGAAGAATACTCTGGCCTTTCAGCTTCCTTGCATTATGAAGTGCTGCTTAGTGGAAGATTCATTAAGCTAATATCTATCCTACAACTCTTACTGGGGAAAGCACTTGAAACAAGGTCGACTTCACACTGAGTTGTTATTGACTCCATTGCTTGCGGTTAACATACATACATACTATTCACAAGTAAAACTTTATGTAAGAACACCGTCAGCATGCTGCCAAATGGGTGATTCGAGACAAACAGTATTTAGATACTATTCTAGGATCATCGAATGCCTGGTAGTTAGAGTCTGTCGTGGTTATTGAATGGGTGTGGGCGTATGAATGAACCGAAGCTTACCATAGTGCAGATCGATACAGTTATTAAATTGAATGGATGCTAAATAACCATTTATGATTCTCAAAAAGATACAAATTAGTATTACTTATTGTTCGGGAAGGAATGCTGCATTTTGATAAGCTGATTCCATGGCGTGCTTGCAAGCTTATTTAGAGCTGTAGAAATCAACTTGTTTTTTTTGTTTGTTGCTTTCAGATTACTTAGAGTGTGGCGGTGGGTGAGAAGCGGTGGGTCTTGATATGAGTGTGTATATGGATATGTGTATGTCTGTGGGTGTGGAGTGTCAGCTGGAATGGGTGGTTCTTCTCTTGACTTACATTGACACTCAAACTCTACATCACAAACCCATGTCCGCATCTACACACATACACATCCAACGCCCACACACTAAGATAAAATGTGTCGCATGTGTCGCAGTTTGCGACACAATGTACGACACATTAATATGCGACACGAGGAGCTCGTTGCGACACATTTCTTCCAGCGGACGTACGACACATTCTTGTGCGACACATGCGACACATTTTTACCACGTGGTTTGAATCCATTTTTCGGCACGAGGATTACTTTTTTTTTGAAAATTCGAATAGTTACTATTTTTTCAGTTAATTTCAAACAGTAGCACCTATTCTTGGAGTTCGAGACGGTAGATCTTAAGATCTAGCTGCCTCGAGACCATTTGATCTCGATCAGACTACTTCGAGGCAGTCCATTCTCGATCATCTAGCGACCTCTCGACATGTTCTCGAATAACAAATGGTCGAGAAATAATCTAGAAAAAAAAGACATACGAAAATGTATAAGTCAAGTACGTCCAATAGGCTCGGTTATATGTAGCTGCACTCGCGAAACAAATCGGTGAATGAACGATTGACATATAGGCTATGACACATCTGTAATGCGACATATTTTTGTAATGGAGTCTGCGACACATTCTTGTGCGACACATATATACGACACATTTTATTTTAGTGTGCATATCCACCTCAAATCTTTATGGCATCTCATAATTGTGACATCACCTACTTATTGCTAAGCTGTCTTTTTATTTACATCCGTTGGTTTAATCGAATCGATATTCATCATATTTTTAAATACTTTTATCATTACACGTGTTTTCCTTCTTTTTCTAGAGACTATTTCTCGCTTATTAGTTTATCGTTTATATTTTCTCTACTCATGTTTCAGTTATTTTTCCTTCGACACTATATTGAATATAACTGGCTGCAATACACACCACTATATACTCCACTTAAATGACGAATCTAACATAGTTTTACCGACATTGGATTAGTTCTTTAATCAAAGAATCTAACCAGAGATCCGAGCCACATAAAGATCGGTTTCGATAACCCTGAAAAGTGTTTTAACTACTTCAACCAACACACATAGATATTTACAACATAAAACATCTCCGTATCCTGCTCGTCAAGAAACAATTCTTTTGAAAACGCTGCTTCTTAAGTATTTATTTATTATTATCATTGAAATAAAGGAAGTACTTTTTTTCGACACTCGATTTCTTTGATTAATAGAACGGAGAGGGTGTGGGTGTAGAATATTAGTAGGAATTTAGGTAAAGAGAAGAGCCAAGCAGTCACGTCACTAACCCATTCACACACCCATATTGACTCCAACAGCTATTCACACACTCACACCCACCCTTCATTGAAGTAAGCTTAAGTCAAGAGAAAGCAAACACACAATAAAGTCCAATTTACCTTCATCTAGGGTAGACAACAAGTATGGTCAAACAAACACAATCTGAGATTGATGAACTGATTCAACATGTTCAAGTAAGAAGATAGAAGAAAAAGAGAAGAACTGATCATTGAGGCATGATTTTTTTTCAAGGTTCACAATCGTAACTTGGTTTGTCGTCATATTCTTCATGCGGTTCAATTATCGATCGCCAATGTGATTATAGAGGTATCACAGTATTATTACAATGACGGGTCATCGAAAAAGTTACTTTTTCTTTGTGGAACGGTAAGATGCGATTACAAAGGCAATCGATACAACATTTCTGTGGAGGTTTGGCTTCAACAAGATCAATCACATCAAGCACCTCTTGCTTATGTAAAGCCAACATCAGATATATATATTTCGTCACAAAGTCGCGATGTTCAACAAGATGGACAAGTCATTGTGCGTTATCTCAAATCGTGGCAGCATGTAAATTTTCGTTTTTCCAAGGATAATGATTGTCATTGTCGATGATTTCGACTACAAGTAACTTGATAAATCTCTTTCAGTCAATTTCTGACACATTCAATCATTCTCCTCCTGCCTACTCGAGTGCCAATCAATCAATGCCTGGTGCAGCTCGAAATCTATCAACTTCAATGCCATTATCTAATGTGAGAATAAAACTACCAAATTCGAGGTTTCAGAATGAATATGTGATCCAAATTTTCTATGGTTTATGGGAAGCAAAAGATTTTATAGATATTGGAGAATTTCATCGGTTCGCGTAGAACAACATAGCCAGGAAATTGTCACAAAAAAAAGGACAAAGAATGGTGTTCTTGCTCTCCTTTTATCGTGTCTTAGCAGCTAACGGCACACAAACGAAGGAATATGCAAGAGAGAACATATTGATGCAATCAAATGTTGATATATTGATTCTCGTACAGAAATTTGTGTAAAGATTTATTCAATTTGTTAGCTTATATCTTTCAGGATCTGCATCAAGATTAGACAGAATTTTGAGGATAACCTTTGTAGCCCTATGTACAGGTGAAAATGCTATTCAGATTCTTAGCGACATCCTACTAAGAACAGTACTTGTTATTCTTTTGTGAAGACTTCTATTTTCTTTTGCCAAATAAAATTTAGAAATTTGTTACTGATTTATAGGAACATTGTGATTCAATGAGAGCGAAAATTGGAAATTCAGAAATGAAAAACGAGTAAAGCGTCGTGAAACTCTTCAGATTTGTGACTGAGCGAGGGTGGATTTGCAAAGTGTGCTAGTAACTCTTGAGAACATTCCATCATCAGTTTCTGACAGATGTTGCTAAGTTTCCATTCAAAATACTATCATATTCTTTTCTTGATATCAACAGAAACAGTTGACTTCATAACGTAATGTGAAAGGCTATTTGAAAGTAAGTTTTGCTAAGAATATGAACAGCATTTTCAACTGCACATAAGTTTATTGAATGGTCTTCTCGAGATTCCATCTAATGTTAAGACTCTTCCTCATTCCACAATCAATTTTTGCATAAAGTACGTTCGAATCAAACGAAATTTTCGAGACTTATTAATTCTTTAGTAAAGACACTCTGATAAAATTTTCAGTTCAATATCATGAGATTTGCGAGATATATTTATCAAACTAACGTCGAAAAATAAGTCTTCTTACCGCCTAGAATTACGGGCAAATCTTCATCATAAGCAAACACTTACTTTTTTTGTTCGATAGAAGACACTTGGATACAAGATCTCACAGAGCTCTTTTTCAAAACTCTTACTTTTTATACCAAAGAACTGACTCACAAGTTTAACAGCCGAAAAATGTTTCAAAAAGAATCTCTTTTCATAGAAGTTTTCTTCAGGAATGGCATATAGCTTCATTCAAAAATCAAACTTAGTTCGGCTTTAAAAAAAAAAGCATGCCTTTTCAAGCAAGGCAAGAAGTAATTATTTAGAATGAAGCATCTTCGAAACTTCTCGATTGCATAACCAGAAAAATATAAATAGAAAAAAGTGAAAAAAATTTCAGAACAGCTCTTTTACTATATAATTTTATAAAACAACAGTTTTCACGTTATTTGCCATGCAATCGATAACTCATTAATATTGGACATGCTGTACTTTTTCAAAAGTTTGCTGAAGCTTATTTATAATCTCTCTCGATTCCATTAAAATGCTTATTTTCCATGCGAACATCTCGAAAACTGCTTTTGTCAAAAATAGCTTTTATTGAGGATAGATGGAAAAGATTAGAAAACATTTTGACGAAAAAAGAGATTGTCAACTAACAAATTCTGTTGAAGATGATAGAGCGAATATCTGACTATCATGTCATGGTTTTAACTCAATCACAGTTTTTCTGAGAAAAATCGGCTTTTTCCAAGTGGGAGACAGGGTTTATGATAGATTCGAAAAAGTATCATATAGTCATAGTTTGATAGTGCCTTTTCTGACAGGAACTTTAAGGAAATAAATAGGTGTTGACAGAATGTTGGTTATTGTGGTTGGGCTACCTCACCATAGGATTATTTAAACAATCTGTAAGGTTCGAAGAAGCTATTATGCATTAGGGTCGTGTATGTTCTTGACACGAAAACTGCAGTTAGTTTAGAATTGAGATTACGGTTCTCTCGCCATGCATATATCTTTTTGTCATAATCTGTCTTCTACTCGATGAAAGGAAGAGAGCTAGCAAGAAAGAATACACGAGGATTGAAAGCCCATGGTATCAATGATACAC